CTTTGCTGCCAATAGCGATGATTTGAAGGTATAAATCCAAACAGTGGTGCTGCAAAAAAAGGTTGGAAATAACAATAATAATGGAAAAGGCATGACATGCACAGTTGGCATTTTTAGCTTTAGCCGCAAAAGTTATTTATGAAAGTGTCATTTGGACAAGGATCTTTCCGAGAAGCCAAGACTGGTTTCATTCGAAATGAATTTCCGCCGTGCTCCGAACGTGACAGCAACCTTCACTTGTACAACCATTCCAAGGATAACGTACACTTTTACTCCCGCTTCGCAAGACACACAATTGGCCTCTCTGTGCCGAATCAGCAGATTGCCCGTTTATCCGCCTTTGCCTTTTGCATAGAAGCCAGCCAAGTCGGACATTACTCAAATTCATCATTCCTGGTTAAAATGACAAAACGGCAAGATTTCGTCCGCAGTCAAGCTTCATGCTTGCTGGATTGGCACATTCTGATACGGCATCAGCATACAAATTAAACAGTGAAACCTCGCTATTAGTGGGGGCTTGGGAGAAAGCTCCGACAGCGTCATCATGGATAATTAATAGACGGCCCAAAAAGGACACGGGATGGTTGGAGGTGACCAATTGATCTTTTGACTGACACAGAAGCCCTTTCTTGGAACGCTGTTGACAATCAAAACACTCTCACACACATACACACACACACAAAATAGTATGCAGTCATTCCTTAGCATAAGTGATGTATAACGGGTTCAAAAAAGGGCAAGTTGGATTCCACAATGCAAACTTTTATAAACAAGTCAAAGCAATAACCATCTCGGTCTGTGGCTACCGGGCAATTTTGCCGCACCACATGAGGCCTCCTCTTCTCGTCGTTAGACTTGCCGGAGCAAACAGAATTGATTCAGGATGGAACATTGAGCACAACAACAGCCGAACGTGATCGCTCTCTGACCCAGGCCGTGACCGGGAGACTTTGTCAGCCCGGACGTCATGGTCTCAGATCGTTCGTCCACGTGGCGGCCCATCCAACCTTCCGCGTGTGAATCCAAAAGTTTGAACACAAATAGCAAAAGGATTATTCGCCGCCATCTGGCAGCAGCGGCAGGGGCGGCCGCTCTTTCTCCTTTAGTGGCAGACACAATTCGTAGCCTCCCTGCGGGGTTGCAGCCTGCTCGACAGTCCTTCAGCAGTGTGTGGTGGAGCATAGCTAAAGCCTTATTCTGACGCCCAGCCGGCAGTGAGTAGAGGCAGTGAAATATTGATGCGAAATGTCAGATTCCAGGGAGAGAAGGGGAGGAAATAAAAAAATAATTTCTACATTGGCATTGAAGGGCACATACAAAGCAGCTCTATGCAAAGAAAGCTTGATGCAACTAGTTACAACGTCCATCAAGTTAGCCGAAAACATTTTGGGGTTATCGTATTTGAGCCGTCTCTCGCCATATTGCAGTTTTCTTTTTGTGGTCAAACTGTATCAGAGATTTATTTATTTATTTTTTTAAATTGCAGAGATCACATTTTATGTTGTCGATTTTCAGCATATATTCTTTCTCCTCCCCAAAGAACGCGTACGGCAGCCGTGATGGCCCAGACCGGTGTGGCAGTAATACACTACAGTATTTATTGTTTCAAATTGAATTACTCAGGATATACAACTCCAACAGCCAGGAGTAACAAGCACAGAAGGATATAATCATCAGAAGGTGAACAGGCCCCCCCCAAGGGCAACCAGAAATACACCGGCCATTCGGGGAATTTTCCCCCGAAATTCCCATCAGCCAGCACACCCCTGTGACTGAGTACTGTTACATTGTCTGTCTACATGTGTTGCTACCCCAATTGTTTCCAAATTCCTGTTGCTTCAAAGGTTTTAAAAAAAGCAACTGCCGATAATTGTTAGCATGTCAATTATGTGTTAGCATTAAGCTCGAGGCTTGTTCTTAAAGCAACATCGTTTGGTTGTTTTAAATAATCACACATTTTTCAATGTGTAAAATTACACCCAAAATCATCAACAAGACGATTCATTTGTCTAATTGATATGAGATTCATTACCAATACCCAAGCTGCCTTTCAGTCCGCATTTCAATTAATTCAATTACGTTAGGAAAAGGAAAACATGTTTTTTTTCATGTATTTGCATCAGCTGACATCCAACCCTTACGTCGTCTTCCAGTAATGAAATAATCTGCTGCGAGGCCTGAAGTGGTCCAGGGATCATGCAATAACCACGCAAACCTTTACAGACGTGAAATTCAGACTTTCAAATGGAAAGCCTGGAAGCAATTATAAAATGCTAATGGTGGAACGTTCAGGGACGGGGGTCTTATCTGAACGCTGGAGTGTGTTTGGCCTGCTTATTTATTTATCTTACCTTATTTTGTTGACGCTGTGAGCGTGCACTCCCTGTGGCGGACTTAATGAAGGATCATGTCGTGGGCCTCAGCTGTTAAGAGGAGGAGAGACAACAAAATTCAACACCACTTAACCCCCCTGAGAGGCGGACGGCTCATCAAACTCGTCAATGAACGAATGAGCTTCGGTGAAGCGGAGGTCACGGAGTCATTGTGGCGCAAGTCCAGGCCAGCTGCGGTTTAATTGTGGCCGAGCAATGGAGTTTTGCTTTTCACTGGAGCGCCATCAAAAGGGACGACAGGGAGGCGGATGGAACGCAAACGGCGCGTCACAGAGGCGCAATTAAGGGGCTGGTTAGCATGTAAGCGTTGGCAGATGTGAGCGTGGGCACTTCTCCTTGTGTCTTCTCATTTCCACGCTTTCGACATATTCAGTACAACCTCCCAAAACATGCCCGAAAGGCAGACTGCAAAGTCGTCACTCACCATTCGAGTTTTTCTCCAGGAAAAAAATTGTGGTGTCTTGACTAACAAGTTTATTTTGTTCCATGATCCTTGCCCAACGGGCATAAATCCGTTATTTAAGGGAAATTAAATCGTTGGCGATATTTACATTTAAAAAGCGAGCACTGCTGCGCAGCTAATCAAGCGGTTAGTCATCTCGTAGTTGGACGAGGAAGACTTGCCATCCTGATCATTTGAATCAGGTGTGTTGCAGCAGGGAGAGATGGAAAACAGTTTGGACACCCCTGATTTAGAGTTTCCAAACAACCCACCATGCATGTTTTGGAACGTGAGAGAAAAGTCACGCAGGCAGGGGGAGCAGTGAAACCTGTTTGTTGAAAACTCGGACAACACGTCTTCCATAATTCCATAACATAACTGCGACCGTGATGACCATTTTGGCTCTGAACATGCCAGCCTGATTGCGAGTATTGTTATACTGTCTGATGACTTCATCACTGCCTATTGGCCATAATAAATTTAAATCAAATCAATGCCAATCCCGCGTGAATATTATGAACAAGGTAGGTTGTTTCTTGGTGGTTAAAAAAAAAAAAAAAAAAAAAAAGCTTCTTGGCAAATGTTACGCGGTTAGAAATGTGAGAAACGTCATGGTGACGTCACAACGTCGACCCAAAAGTGGTGCCCCAAAAAAAAAACCCGATTAACTCACAATTTGGGGTTGAAACAGCAGCACAGAATGACGTTCAACACCAAGGCGCCCCTGATTTACTTTTGGGAAATTGTTTAGGAAAGTCCGCATCGAAAAAAAGCGAGGAAGCAATTTCCAGTGAGCTAATCAGACGCAGGTGAGGTGAGGGCGGAAGTAAAGTCTATATTCAACCGGTGTGGGAAGCGCCGACGCATTGAATAATCCCGAAGTGGAGCTTGGCTCATCCATCAAATCGGAGTGTTTTTGTTGACGTATCGCAGCAGGCGAGCGCGTCGGCTCGAAATTGTCGCCGACCGTCGCTGACATTTGCGGAGGTGCGCGGTGGCTCGGTCGGGGGAAGAGTTAGAAGAACGCCTTGTCACGCCAACCCTTTTAATGGCTTCTCTTTGTGTGCCTTAAAAGCCGCTTGACATTTCCCATCAGGATCCCGGCCACTCCGCGTGCGTGTTTGGAAAGTTCTCAAATATTACTTTGGGCTTTTACACGATATCCTGTAGGAGAAAGCCAGCCCATGTGGTGACTCAAATCTGCACAAGGTGAATGAAGCTCCCCATTTTTACGAAGCAGGCCTTTGAAAATTCTATTGGGGAGCCATCTTCTTCTGTCAGACAGCTCCTCTGTCCACTGAGACTTGTTGCTGCCCCCAAAATACACCATTTTTTGTTTTTAATAAAAAAAAACAGCACAGTATTGTATGAAAATAAATGCCTTTTTTGCATTGTCTTGTGAGCAACAACAAAACAGCACAGTATTGTATGAAAATAAATACATTCGTGCCTTTTTTGCATTGTCTTGTGAGCAACAACAAAAAAAAGAGCTACACTTTGTGTATTTAAAACAACCATGTAGCTTAGTGTTTCGGAGTGCTAGCTGAAATGGCATCTATGTTGCTATTTACACCCACAAACAGTGGAAAAACAAATGAGAATATAACAGTACTCACAGCCTTACATATGCAAAATAACGAATAGTGCTGTACTGATGAGCGGAGAGGAGCTGAGATGACATCTGTTGGCGACAGAGCAAGCATGAAAGAGAGCGGTTGGAAGGCACTTTATTTCTATATCCCACACAAGGCAACTCAATGTGCTTCACACTGACACAACACCTACGAGCATTTACGAACACAACAGTGAGCGATATTCAGACGCAAAGCAGGGAAAACAGGTAGCTTGTAAAAATGACCAAAATGACATTGAGACCATTTAAACACATGAACAGAAAAAGCAACAAAAACATTTCAAGGTAAAGAAATAAAACTAGGTTTCTAAAAATGATTTCAAATTGATAAGTGGATTAGAAAATGGGTGTATTCAGAATTGTTTTGAGGACCTTAATAAAAGGTATGGGAAAGGTTTTAACCTGGATTTTAAAGCACTGACACTCGGGGCTGACTTCACTTCTGTTGGCAGCTTATTCCATTTGTGTGCAACATCACAGCGAAATGCAGATTCACCGTGTTTACGTTGAACTTTGGCATTCAGAAATTGACCCAAATCTGCAGATGTCAGAGCTTCACAGGGTTGATATTGCATCAGCATTTCTTGAATATGGTCAGGACCCAAAGCCATTCAGTGATTTATCGACATGTAGCAGAATGTTAAAATCTATTCTACATCTATTTGTGAGCCAGCGTAAAGTCTTTCGGACTGGAGAAAAAGGCTCTGATATCTTTCTTGTGGTTTTGCCGCCATTTTGTGTGTGTACAATTCATGAATCTGTGGCTTAGCTACCTGTTTTGTGCAAAGTTAGCATGCTATGCTAGCTCAGCGAGTGCTCCGATTTATATCTGTGTGTGTAGGGCTCGTATTGTGTCTGTCAACATTTATGTAACCCGGTGGATGTGCTTAATGCAGCTGATCAGTGTAACTCATAAAATCATTTGTAATCTAATTATGTTAGTTTCAAAATAAACAGTTACTTTAATTTGAGCCAACAGATGACATTTACAAAGGAAACTGAGTAATGTGTCCCAATCCATTTGTCCAGATGAAGACAAGCTGGAGTGGATAGAAAAGAAGCAAGGAGAAGGTCACAACGCGCTCATTGTTGACTCAATGGATCAGGTGGAGTGAAGTGCGTTTTTTGGCATGCGTGCACACGTACACCCCGCCCCCCTCCCACCGCCACGAAGGCCTTTTAGCCGGCCATCGCGCTGGCGAGGGCCATCGATCGACTGCTTAATACAGCAGACACACATTTAAACATTGATTTGTGGCTTCTGTGACTTTTGGCCAGTGAGGATGATTAACCGAGGTCTCGTGGCAGCGCCCGTAAGGTTTTTTTTTTTTTGTTTTGCTTTGTTTTTTCTTTTCACTTGTGTGTGTGTGTGTGTCTGTGTGTGTGTGTGTGTGTGTGTAGTGTATGAGATTTAATGGAATGTCTGCAGCACACACAAACAAACCCCCACACACAGTGTAACTGAGGTCAAACATTTCAAACTGGAAAAAACAGCTTAAAAGTAATCGAGTGAACCAACTTATTGCCGCTGACTTCAGGTCAGTTTTATAAACAGGTCGATGGTGCGTTTGACTTTGCTCGCCCTTCTTCTCAAAACGGCAACAACGTCACTTTTCTTGGCCGCAATATACGATGATGCGTAGTGACGAAAGGCTAGTAATAGATACTGGAGGTATTCCCCAGGCTCTATACTAGTACCACATGTTTTTACAGTTGACTTCACAAGAACGCAATTACAATGGCTTGATGTGACAGTATGAATTCTGGTGGCGTTCCACAAGGTCCGCTGCTCAGTTCACACATTCTTCCAGTACACTCTTGATGTACATACATTTCATACCTGCAATTCGATTTATTTATTTCTTTTTGTTCAAATACTAAAATCTCATTTTATTTGTAAGGCATTCTTTCTCTATGTGGTGGATTTTTATCTATTGCAGGTGTGGAATATATCGCGGATAATCAACGGCGCTTCACTGTATAATGAAGCTTATTACGCGCCGGAGACATGTCCCAGCCTTCGTTCGTCTGCGTCACCTCACTGTCGCAGCTGACAGTTTTCCACAGTCTAAAAACCCGCCCCCCAGGAGTTACCTATCATTGTGTTGTCAGCGTCGGCGATGCACTGGAGGAGGCGAAGAATGTGGACAGGGGGAGTGGAGGGGAGGGGTGACAGTTTGTCAGGTCAGAGACGATAAAATGACCGTTTAGCAGCCGCTTGCTCACGTATCGCTCGCCTCGACTTTAATTATCCCGTTTTCTTTCGGAGCCAGGAAGCACCTTGTGGCGGAATTCTCGAGACGAACGAGGCTTCCCGCCGAGCCTGAACCCATCATTTCATGAGTCATCCAAATACGACAATAAACGCCTCCCGACAAAAGGCTGTAATCATCTCAATTGTTTTCTGTCTCTCTCTCTCTGTCTCTCTCTCTCTGTCTCTGTCTCTCTCTCTCTCTCTCTCTCTCCTCACACACACACACAACACACACACACACACACACACACACACACACACACACACACACACACACACACGTCTAAGAGTTAACTGCTGAGCCCACTTGAACCCTGTTGCTAAGCAAAACAAGCAGCACCCACCAAAGCCCACAAGTGGGAAGCCTTCACCGTTCCACAATAAAAGGCACAAGCTTCAAAATAACCACAAAATATTGCAAGTCCACTAGATTGCGAACTCACAATGGGAAATGCCATCGACAGGCAAACGAAACTGTCGTCAGCGTTGCGGTAGTTACAGTATAACCTTTTGAGCAAGAGGTGTTTGATTGCAAACGGACTGCAATGCGTGTAGACAGACGTTTTCAAACTCACCGACATATATTCTTTATCCTCTGCGAAAATTGATATATTGCTGCATCTGATTGAGGCGGGGTGGGGGGGATGATTTGCAAACTTGTATGCAGAACAAGTTTAAGTCGTATCTCAAGACATCACTGAATTTAAAAGTTGAAAATGTCATTACTGTTCTGTACCAGGTCCTACTGGCATGTGAGTGTGACGGATACTTCCAATTTCAAAGGCCATTCCAGCCTCAAATTGGCCCTCTGGCGCATATTTGAGGGAAGCTCGGGGATTTATGGGCATAGCGGTTACCGTGGCAACCTAGCATCCTTTGCGTGCCGTGCCTGCCTCCTGGGTTAGGGTTACCAAACGCGGGGAAAGTAGTAGCCAGGACGGATGAAACGTCAGCTGCCATGCATGGGACTTTTCTACACATCTTCCCAATACGTCACTCGGCATCTCGTTGTATTCCTGGAAGAATATTCGCTACATACCTTTGATTTAATGTTACGGTTCGGCTCATCTTGGGTACCAAAAAAAAAAAAAAAGAAATCAAATGCAACAGAACCAAATGTAATTACGTAAAATGGCATATCGGCTAGCAGTAAATCCTCCAGTAAAGATCCTCAAACAAACAAAAGAATATTTGAAAGTGGCTTCAGTCGTTTCTTTTTAGCAAAGTCCCAACACGAATGTTGAAATATTGCAAGGCATTGCTGCACGCTCAAAATTGCCCGTTCATCATATAAACCATAAATCAAACACAATGTATGATCCGAAACAGTTGGAACATAACTTCAAACTCCGCGTACAACATTAGCTTTAAAAATGAGTCTCACAGATGATTCGATTTCGGAAAAAAAATCCATCGAAAGTAAACATGTTGCATGGATATTTTTTTTTTGTTATCAAATGAGAATCTGATCTCTCTTTACTTACTTGGAGAAATATACGTGTCCATATTTTTTAATTAATTACAAAAAAAAAAACTGGAACAAAGACTCTCTGTGACTAATCCAAGCTAAACTTAGCACGTCCCCCAAGAAACAAGGCTTGTCACTGGATCCTTATCTGAAGCCAACAGGCTCAAACTTTCTAAAGGGCACTTTGAAACAGGAATTCATGCCTTGGTCACATTTCGGCTGGATTACTGTAACGCACTTTACTTTGGAGTCAGCCAATCCTCCATGAAGCGTCTCCAGTTGGTCCAGAATGCTGCTGCATGAACGCCTCTTGACTCGCACTCATAAGAGGGAGCACATAAATCCTACTCTGGCATCCCTACACTGGTTCTCGATACATTTTAGAGTTCTATTTAAGATCCTATTATTTGTTTTCGAATCTTTAAATGGTCTTGCGCCACCTTACCGACGTTGACGTCACCGTCGAGAGGTCCTGAGTTCGGACCTCGGCTCAGGTCTTCCTCTGTAGCACGGCTCGAGCTCCCAAATCGGCTGGGATAGGTTGCAGCTTTCCCGCTACCCTAATGAGGACAAGCGATTACAGAAAGCGGGCGGATGGATGGAATGCCAAATTGGATGTGATCGATTGGGCTGCCTTCGGCGTCCATCAGGCTCTCAGTGATTGATCATGTAAAGCAGTATTGGACGGCAGCTTCCAAACGGTTTCACTCTTGGCTGTCAAGTGCACAATCAGACATTAGGTGTCGCGTGATCCCGTTTCGTTTCGCCCTCGCTGCTTGCCGAGCTAATTAAGTGGTGCTGACAGTGAACGTGATCAAGAACAGCAAGCAAAATTTGCAGTATCTTCAAATGTCTTTTGAAGTGTCAAATGACAGCAACGAGCCACGCTGGGGGATTTCTGTGACGGCGGCGGACAGGCGACGAAGAGACATCAAACCCCGCAGGCAGGGCCGTCATTATTTTTCGCACCGGCGACAAGGCAGATAAATAAGCTGCCGTCTTGCTGGACGCCCAAGCAGCTCGACACGGCGGCGGCGGCAAATCTGTGCGATTTGTGCGCTGGTCACGCCTCCGCTCTGAACTCGAATCGTGTCCCCCCTTGAAACACAACAGACGGGATAACTGCAATACGCGGAATTAATTTCAGGGCCGTGTAGTCATCAAAGATAAGCTTTGGCTCCCATGTTGCCGGTTGTCGGCTGTTTGCAGTCCTGCGGCTCCTTCGCGTCCTTGATCGAGAGTGGAAGAAACCAATGGGAGGAAACTACCCAGCAGACAGAAAAACTTTGCTGTCATGCTCACGTGTTGGCATTCCACGTTCATTGCAAGGTAAAATACACGGACTGATCAAGAATTCAAAACACCAGCCAAATAGGATTGATTGATCCGTCGAGGAACCAATCAGTCAACCAAGCAAACACGAAGTGGCCTCGGTTGATCATTAAGTCAACCAGTAATTCCCAAATCAGTCAATACAAATCAACTGTATTACATCTGCCAAGTCAACTAACCAACCAACCAGAAGTAATTGATCCATCCATCCATCAACCAACGAATCAAGATTGCTAGATCAATTAATCAAGTATTGAGTCAATAAATAGGTCAAGCCAATCAATCAACAAATCAAGTTTGTTTGATCAACACATCGACTAACCAGTCAGCAAGCCAAACCATCAATGATTCAACCAGCCAACACACCAAGAGAAACGTATCAATCAGTAAATCAATCAATCAAGATTTACAAATAAAGCTATCAATAAATCAGTCAACTGGTCAATCACCAAATCGGTCTGTCAAACAACCAACCGGTCTGGTTTCTCTGATTAGTCCATCAAGAAATCTTTAAACTGCTAAGGAATCAATCCTACAGGTTTTAATGAGACAAACCAGCCATCAGGCAACCAACCATCCACTACCAATCAACCAATCTATCAATTTATCAGTCAGACAAGCATCCAACAGGGACTGACCGATCACTCCCTCCACCAACCAATCAGGGCCGGACAATCAGTCCCTTAAGGTACGAACAATACGGCAATCAAATCCTTCAGTTCCATTCATCAATCAATCAACCAATTCATTCCTGATCAGCTTGCGCTTTGCCGCTTTCCCTCCGAATCGCTGCTTGCGCGCCTCCAGAGGGCCCACCCCCCTCCCCGAGGCATTCCGCCGACGAGCAAACGCATCTTACAACCCTGTTATGTTTGATCACCATGGCAACCAAGATTTTTACATGACGACGGCCAGTGACGGCGGTCATCTGCGCCCCCTCTACCGCTAGCCGGTCTCCCGAGCAGCCTACAAAACCATCGACGACGATGACAACTACCAAAGCGGCTTTTTTCCCCCTCAATAATGACGAATCAACGAGAGCGCACCGAGCACATCGGCGTAATTAGTCGCCAGAGTGCCGCATTAATCTGCTTGATCTAATTAGCTAGCCAACATAATCAGCACCTTGTTACCACAGCCACGTTGGTCCAAGTGTCACCCCCGCACTCAAAGTGGGCCGCTTGTGTTTTTATCGGAGGTTAACAGCCTTTGATTGCTTTGGCGAGTCCCCCAGGACCCGCCGTGGGGCTTCCACCAATCGGGCGCTGCGACTCTCCCCGGGCTCACTGATTGACAACCGACAGGCAACGTTTGAAACATCCAATGCCT